CTTGAGAACCTGAGAGCTATGATCTTTTGTAAGGCTCAGAAATGTCGAAATTCATGAAGAATTCGACCATAAGACCAGGTGCTCAGTTAACAACCCTGCACTAAACCCCGGAATACAGTTTCATGCCGGGGTAATCCCACAGAGATAGTGAGATGCGGGCCCTAGGCAAGACGAGAGGTTCTTCTTTAGTGGTGCCTTATTCTCGCACGCCAGGCCGTTCATGCAGGCGAGAACCAAGAAGCAACCACAATCGCCTAAATAAGGAATCCCTCGATACCTCCTCCGCGAAATGAACAAAAGTCCCGCCGCATCTACCCTAGGGTAATCGAATACTCCAATCATCACTCGTGGGGGCGTCATACGCCTGCATCTCAGGAAACTCCTCCGCGAAATAAACAAAGTCCCGCCGCATCTACCCTAGGGTAATCGAGTAATCCAATCATCACTCGTGGGGCGTCATACGCCTGCATCTCAGGAAGCTGCGGCGTTAAATCGCGTCTTGTACGTACGTACGTGCGGAGGCCTAGGGTACGTACGTGCGGAGGCCTAGGGTACGTACTTGCGGAGGCCTAGGGTACGTACGTGCGGAGGCCTAGGGTAGCGACTCTTCAGGTCTGAAAGGGTGTTGAACCATGGTTCCCTCTTCACACGGGGTGTGTCTCACACCGTGGCCGACCCAACCGAAACCCCGCACCCACGGCCAACGGACGGCCTGGCGATAAAAGCAACTGTATGGGGTAAAAACCACTGGGCGAGAACGCGGCTGCTCCGCGTTCTCGGAATGCGAACCTCAGAGGGAGAAAGCGCTGGAGACCGCTCGACCAATCAGAGAGCGTAAAAGATATACCATGTAGGAAGAGTCGCTGAATTGCAGACCGTATTGACTAATGTACGTCCGTCAGGTTATCGCAAGCGCTACGGAGACCGAGATCACGACAGACATCGTCTCCGACCTTCTCCCTCCGGAGCAGTTCTTCCGGTTCAACCCCCGGATGACCGACATGCCCATCGACGAGGTCAGGAAGGAGCGGCTGGACTGGCTCAAGACCCTCGCCAACGAGTATTTCGAGGTGTGACAAGCTGGATGAGTATGTTGCTGTTGTTGTTGTTGTTGTTTCTGCTCTGGCTGGTTGTTGTTGTTGTTGTTGTTGTTGTTGTTTCAACATAAAAAAAACGTTCCGGTTTCCGCTCAGTGCCTTCAAATTTTCGGACTGGTTGAACTGACGCGCACGCCTTGCCGTCGTCACAGCCCGACTACCCACAAAAGGCTTTACGTACAGAAGTAGAGGGGCGGATCGGAGGCCTTCACTTTTCCACGTCACCCCCCGCCCCCATGATCTGTCTCTATGGCAGCATCTGGTGTCTGCCGGTGTTATTTTTTCCCCGCAACACCAAAACGGCAGTGGTCAGGCCTCTCACGGTTGGTTCCCATTTCTCGCAGAGCGAATCGTACGTTGGGTGTTTGCTCACGGGGTTGAGGCTTGACGTGCAAAATATTGGCGTGGCATGTGACTGCTCTTTGTCAACTACCTTTCTTCTCGGATAAATACATGATTGTCTATGTTAACCTCTCACCTTCTCCTCATCTCTTCCCCATAATTCCCCGTCGCCCTCCCCAGACGCCCGAAAACCAGGCACGCTTGCAAGAAATGGCGGAGAAGATGCTGCCGGACCCATAAAAGAACCCACACAGGATGTTGGTATTGGTATGGTTGATATCTTGTGGACCCTGCGGGGAAAGGTAGAGCTCTTGTGAGTGCAGCGAGCTTTCCATTCTGTGGTGTTGTTCATGTGGTTTTGCGCCGTCACCGCGTCGGAGTGTTGGCGGGATGGTATTTTATGTGTGTGTGTTGGGCTCGGGCTTTTGTTGAAGGATGAGCCAGTGCTGCTGCTGCTGCTGCTGCTGCTGCTGCTGCTGCTGCTGCTGCTGCTGCTGCTGTTCCTGTTCTGTGCGAAAGTTTGACAGAGAGATGTGTGACTTGTGTGTAGAGGAGAGAGTGTAGAGGAGAGACGCTCGAAGGTAGCGGGTGTTTGCAGGAAAAAACACCTCTGCCAGATAATTGCTCCATCTTGCATGAGGTGTCGCGCAAGGTACTGGTAGGCGCACCAGGCTCGGCAAATATTAAAAATCAGTTGTCGGGAGGGAGGTATGGTAGGGAAGCCCTAAGGGCTTAGTGGAATTTTCTGGTTTGTTTTGCATACTCCACTCAAGTTGGCAAGCATCCCTCCCCCCGGCGTTGTACAAAAATTCCAAATCGGAATCGGAATGTACCGTTTTTCTACGTTCATGTACCGTTTATTTTACGGGCACTGAGCGTGGTATGGGATGGGTTGGCTGTCTGTTGTTGTCGT